CTTCTCCTCTTTGTTCTTCTTCTTCTCCTCCTCCTCCTTCTTTTTCTCTTCCTCCTCCTCCTAAAGAAGAAGAAGGAGAAGAAGAAGAAGAACTACAACAACAGCAGCAACAACAACAACAACAACAACAACAACAACAACAAAAGCATACGTTTTATCTACCTCGTGAGCTTGAAGCCACTCGACACGTATTATAACCACACGACAAGAGAACATTTCGAGATAAACGAATGATTGCTCTTTAATATCACTTGAACAATCAAACAACAACGATAAAATAACAATAATACATTTAACAAGATTATGGTATCTTATCAAAGCCCAGGCGGCGTCCGTGGCTTAGGTGTTGCGAGTCCGACTCTGATCCAGCGTACCGCGATCGAAACCCACTGCTGGCTGCGTGGATTTTTATCGTGGTATGGGACGTCGCAGGTCGACCCAACCTAAAATGGGTACCAAGGTGGGCTGTCCTGGGAAGTAAAGACAGCCGGCGTAACGCTGACCACATTACCCATTGATTGCTGATGGTCTGTAAAAATATGGGCGCTCTTCACATATACCAGATACGTCTACAAGCGTGGAAAGGGATCTTTACCTTTTTTTTTTTATCATAGTCAATACCTTGTTGCGTTGGGCAGCTGCCATGGTGAAGCGGCTAGGCGCTCGCCTGAGGCTCTGTACGTCGCGGGTTCAGGTCTGATCTGAACCAGACTTGTTTCATATCTGGCACTGACTCGCAGGACGACCCAGCCTTGTGTGGGTTCCAGGTGAACTTCTTTGAATTGAAGGCGGCTTGGGTGATGTTGCCGGCATTACTCACGGACTGCCGATTGGTCAAAACACAAGGGTAGAGCCCTAAATGCCTAATAGTTCTGTAGGCGTGGTAAAGAGTCTTTCACTTTTACTGGGTTAGTGGATCCTTGCCGGTGCTACGGAGTTCGTGCACTGCGATGAGAATCTTTGGACTCAGCCTTGAGTCAGACGTAGAACGGAGAACTTATGGGTTACTGCCCTTGCGCCATGATGTTGATTCTTTGTATAAACTTATCTATCGGGGCTAATGGATACTGACGAATCTACGACACTAACAGGACTGTGTGACATGGGGGTAAAGATTGGTGAAGCACGTCTATGCCTTCGAGGCCGAGATCGGAGATATCATAACTAACCTACAGTAGGAACAATTAGTAGAATTACCCTGGAGTGGCTGCTGCATCGAAGGACTGAGCACGCGTGGGAATGCTCAATGTGCAGTAACGTCAATTGTGATAACATATCATAGCATAATTTCTTTTTCTTCTGGCATAACCAGGAACCAAGAGGCTGTAGGAAAAACATTCCAACCGAAGAGGCTGTAGGAAAAACATACCAAACGATGAAGCTGTAGGAAAAACATACCAACCGATGAAGCTGTAGGAAAAACATACCAACCGATGGGGCTGTAGGAAAAACACACCAAACGATAAAGCTGTAGGAAAAACATACCAACCGATGAGGCTGTAGGAAAAACATACCAAACGATGAAGCTGTGGGGAAAACATACCAACCGGTGAAGCTGTAGGAAAAACATACCAACCGATGAGGCTGTAGGAAAAACATACCAACCGATGAGGCTGTAGGAAAAACATACCAGCCGATGAGGATGTTGAAAAAACATACCAACCGATGAGGCTGTAGGAAAAACATACCAACCGATGAGGCTGTAGGAAAAACATACCAACCGATGAGGCTGTAGGAAAAACATACCAACCGATGAGGCTGAAGGAAAAACGTACCAACCGATGAGGCTGTAGGAAAAACATACCAACCGATGAGGCTGTAGGAAAAACATACCAACCGATGCTGTAAAACAGCGGTTCTCAACTTGTGTGTCGAACGACCCTTCATAGGAGCGGCCAAAGACTATCGCAAAACACATATTGAAGTTATGTAGTAGCAACAAAAATAATTGTATGGTTGGGGGTCGCAACAACATAAAGAACTGTATTAAGCGTCGCCACAACATAAAGAACTGTATTAAACGTCGCCACAA